CATTCATACATTTATACACCCAATCCACCCATCTTGCATCCATCCATACATTCATACATTTATACACCCAATCCACCCATCTTGCATTTATCAATCAATGCATGCATGCATTCATCCATTCATCCATTCATCCATCCGTCTATCCATCCATCTATCCATCCATCCATCCTTCTATCCATCCATCCACCCATCCATCTATTCATTCGTATATTCATTCATTCACCTCCTTATTGTATTCTTAATTTTCATTCTCATTTCCCATGCACCTAGATTAACAGCCTCTCAAATATATCCTTGTAGGAAGTGTTATCATGCCCTTGTATTCTCTCTTAGCTCCTAACCAGGATTTTTTCTATTTTATCATAACACAGCAAGTTAGTTATTATAGGAGTAGCAGGTTATGGACATGGACACCATAACTAGACCCATACTAGAAAGGTTCAACAGAGAAGAATGGCCTATTATCTTCTGGTTTTACGTCAAAAGTCTTGGTCTCTTTCATTCTGGTGAGTTTCATAGTAATATTTATTAATTAATTAATTTGTTGGCATAATAATTAACCAGGAGAAAATGAACGAAAAGGAGGAATCCTTTGCTCCCATCGCGAGCACTCTTTGATACTATTTTTAGAATCTTTGATGCTATTTTTAGAATCACTCATTTAATCGATTGTTTTTCTGCATGTGATTAAACTACTCTCACTGCATACATAATTAGCATGTCACGTAGGAATTTAGCAACCCCCCCATTTATGGACATTGGAGTTTGTGCAGTGCAGATGTAATGCTTTGCGACCCCTCCATATATGAGTGCCACACCCAGATCCTTGAATCATTTCGTCGGAAGCTGCCTAAGGAGAGAGTAGAAAATTCAACCCACCCACCTACCCTGTTAGCGGTTGACGATGCATCGCATGCTTTTCACATGCTCATTGCCAGCATTCGGAGTCACCTTCCATATCTTAATTCCCATGRCTCGGTAATGAGTATGCAGTGAGGATAAAATACTGTCTGCTTATGTTTTTTGCATTTTTCAAAAAAATCTAAGCGAACAGCATAGAGTGCGTGCAGTATGTGAATGCAGCAAAATGCACGGCAAATGTGATTCTAAAAATAGCATCAAACGGTGCTTATATGATGGTTAAAAGCTTGAATACCAGAGATTCCTTCTCTTAGTTCTTTTTCTCTTGAGTTGACTCTTCTAGAGCTGGTTAGTCAAAGCCCAAATAACTTTTCCACTTAAATATAAGCCCTATGCAGTATACATCTATTTTTATAAACGTTGTTGGTTGGAGATCTGAAATCTGAAATCTGAGAC